TTGAATTATAATCAGTTTTACAGCGCCCTTTAACAATTTTTCATTGATCAAAATTAATTGAATTTAAATAACTTCAATGTGGTGACTTATTGCAATATGTTATCGTCGTGCAGTGTTCATTGTCTGTTAACACATCAATAGTTTTTGCTTCTTCTTTGAAACTGTTTTACGAATTTCAACCAATTTTGGAAAATAGCATTTATGGTAAGGAGGACAAAAATACAAATACCGCGGTCCCCACTCCCTATTCTCTAGCTTGAGGGGTGGGTCCAAAACCATAAAAATTTATGCCATATTCGAAATTTTCTAAACTCCTGTACATCAATCATTCAAATTATTGGCACGATTGTTATAAACATCGAGTTTCAATCAAAATTGGGGAAAACTACATGTTGTATATCATTAAAAACCTTAAAAGTTTTATTCTCCTCCTGGGTACTGAACAAAAGAACCTACATACATAATGAAAACGAGCAACGATGCCTGTTTCAAAATTATGATTTTTGTGGGCTCAGGGTCAGGATTTCTAGAGTTTCGTCGAGGCTCTATTGATAATTTAGTGAAATTCTTCAATGCCATCTCGTCTGCTCATTAAATCGAACAAATTAATTACAAACATAGCTATACTAAACGAGGGATCCTCTTTCAATTTGTGAATTTCAGTGCATAAGTGTCAGGGGTTCTGGTGTAAGGGCGGGACTCAATTGGTTATGTAGTGATAATGCATAAATATCAATTCTTTTCCTCTTCTCCTGGTATCAAATATACTAATTGAATATACTAAGTACACATCTAGTTATGATGAGGGCGCGTGCCCTGATCCATATTGTGAATTTCAGGAGGTCTGGTTTTATAGGGCGTAGTCCTAGCTAGGCTATTATTTATGCTGTTAAAATGCATTAAATATTTGAAAATAATCTTCTCGGCACCTAGGTTTTAAATTTAATAATTGAATATATCTTTTGATGATACGCAAGAGTCTTTCTTCCAAAACCGTTCATCTCAAGGCCCTTGGGCCAGGGGTACCGTATAGGAGGTTCTAATAATATTAAATTGAATATGATATAAAGTAATGCTTTCAAAGAGCAAGATCCATCTTATGCATAAAATGGCCCTGTCCTTATATCAATTAATTAACTATCACCCTCTTTCCGATTTCATATATCAAAATAAAGTAGACACTTGGTGCTTTCATGTTCTATAATGAAATTTCGTTTTGAGAATCCAAATATTTGAAAACAGGCTTTTAGAAATTGCAATGTTCTTGTATTTGCAGAAAATAGGCTTATTTGACTACCTTCAGCAAAGAATTAAAATATGAGCACAGCCCACGATCCAAAAATTAAAACATGTTTTGTGATCTTCAGATATAGGCCTTTTATTATGTATTGGCATATTTTTGATCAGAGGTTGTGCTCTATGTGAAATATTGAAAAAACGCTGCAACTTTATAATAGGTCATTTTCAAAGGAATTTAAAGGATATGAGGAAAATGACGCATTTTATGACGTTATAATGCATTGACTAGATGTGAAATTACATCATAATAAATAGATACGTGGTCACCAACAGTCCAACTGTTAAATACTGCATTTGCAACCTAAACTGAGCGGTTTTGAATTTTCAGAAATTCTCCGGGCCAAATAAGGCCCAAAGTGGCTCTACCTCTTTTCTCATTGATTTCGATCAAACATTCATGAAGAACAAGGGTGCCTTTTCCAAAACTGTTAAATGTGTGTCCTCAGGGGCGCAAGGGATTGTTATGAGTTGATGGCATTAATAATTTTGTTGAATATAACTGATTAGTTGAAATATTTAATCCAACTGCTCACTTATATAAAAATGTTGCATGAACCTATAAATGGATTTTGAAAAGAAATCTATTTTATAAGTAAAATACAAACAATTATAGTATGCTTGCGATGCAAAATTGGACAAAAATGACATTTCAACTTTGCCACATCTATAACTGAATAAACACATTCATGTATGTCATTTAACGTTATGTCTCTTACATGTATCAGAGTATCAAATAAACTATTGTTTATCTTTTTTATATAATTTCTTGGCTAGAATGAGAAATTTTTTTTATTTAAACAAATGACAAGCACTTGAAAAAAAGTTAAAGGCCTTATGAATTATGTATTGTACTTTTCAGAGAAATTTGAGAGCATGCCAGATGATGAGCTGTGCGTGCTAGCTTGTTTTATGTTATCAGACACTGGTGCTCCTGATTTCACTGACGAAAACTGGATGAAAGTTCTGAATACGATACGGGACAAAATGAACGAAGGAGAAAATCCATTAACGAATGTTGAAGTTCAAAACATTCTGGAAAGTCTTAAATGTAACGAATTCCTTGATGCTGACCAGGATGGTTTGCATATTATTGAGGATGCTGCTGATGAGATTTTATATGTATTTGTACAATATTCTTTTCTGCGTAGTGATTTTAATAATTATTACCCTAGTTTTGAAACAACAAAAAAGTACGTGAGATCACAAGGGTATGAACGAAAACCTGGAGAGAAGTGTGCAATTTGTATCAGTCCAAAAGTTGAATCAATAATGATATTCCGTGTACAAATGGACATCCTCACCAGTGTCACAATGGAGGACAAAGCTATACACCATAAAATATTTCAAATACGTAAGCTCTAGAATGGGTTTTCTATTTTGGGTGTTGGAGTTGGGACTTGAAGTTTTCTTTTTTTCGAAAAAATAGCTGCCACTTGATAATTGTGTATAGTCAATATATTTGAAATATTTTGCGAATATAAAACACTCTCTTACTGCAGCACAGTGAAGACTACGAAAAGGGGATGGACCCAAATCTGTACGGAAAAAAAACTAACTGTGACATAATGCAAAACCAAAAATTTTTTAAAATACCATAAAATAAGGTGATTTGCAATCAAAATACATCAAAACTTCAAAACTTACTACAGCATGCTGTATCGTTGTTTAACCCCACATAACAAGTTACATGTATAAACAAGTCACTGATCTCATTCCACTTGTCGATGTGACGTCATTTCGTAAAATGTGATACAGTTTGTATGCGATCATGTAATATTTTCTCAACAAAAACTGTTCTCTAAAATTAAGTAAAATACCATTTAAAAATATTTCATAAGCCATTTATTTTAATTCAGTGTCTTTTTTTAAAGATTGTATCATATATTTTCTGTATTTTTCGTATTTAATTGATACTGCCTTATATTTGTATGCACGTACATTGGAGGTTATATGAGAGTCTTACTTATCAATCTAGTGCAAGGGCATACACTCAATGGATCACATTTAGCTTTTACAAATCAACTGTCGAAGTATTAAGTATCTAAAAAGTTTTGCGATCCTGATGAAATCTTGAAAATGATTTAAATATATAACTTTTCATGCAGGTTATCATATATATATATATATATATATATATATATATATATATATATATATATATATATATATATATATATATATATATATATATATATATATATATATATAACAAAAAATCTAAATACATTTTTAATAAATAAATTTTGTCGATATATCCATTGCACACCTTAACTGTACTTGGTAAGTCATATTCTTCTCATTTTAGCCAAGATAAATGACTCTAGACAAACTTTTGGGGCTACATGTATATCCATTTTTATGTCAAAATTTGATTTCAACTTCCTTTTTCCCGTCCTATATGGGTCTAATAATATTATATAGAAAATAAAGTATCTTTATGGCATTCAATGTAAAATGATGTAAAAAGTTATCATGATACCTATCTTCAATTTAATAGAATTTTAACGTAGAGGCAAAGAACATACAAATTACCATTTTTTGAGAAATCCTGATAAATTCCCTTTTTCTGATAGTAAAAAAATCTCCAATATCCATAATTAGTTTTCCTAGATTTTCATTGAAAATGACGGTTTAGAATATGTTTCTTTGTCTTATCTACCTTTGAAAAAATCAGTAAGAACTTTTCGTTTGCTAGATCTTGATCTTAAAAGAAAGAAATGTCAAACTCAAGTTAGTACTTGTTAAACAAACCTGAACCAAGACTCAGTTCTGTTAATAAGATGAACATGCATTTACACTGGTCTACGTATGACTTGAAATGCTTACTTTTTTAATAGTATTTTTGTAACTCTTTCGAAGATTAATGATTTTCAACATTAACAATTTCAAGGAATTTGAACATAACGTCAATAAAGATGTTAAGGCAAAGTATAATATCTAAGAAATGAAATATGATGATTTAAAAAATGACTATGAAATTGTTTTTGCATAAGTAAGGCTATGTGGTTAATGATGTATGACATTGCATCATTACTGAATAAGAATTGCCTGTGACATGCATGTATTAACTCAAAAATGAATTTTATTTAAATTTTGGCATGTGTTTCCATATTTGTAGTTAACATACCTGAAAGCATTTCAAGACAAGGGATGGATGAGAGGAAACAGTTTCTTTTGGAGCATCAAGAGGCTGGTGAGCTAGTACATACATGTAGCAGGGGAGAATCACAGAAGATTGCACAAGTAACATGGAATTACAGATTTTGGAGATCTGAGTTCGCCAGATCCTGCATAGGCCGTTATCCACATACCGATATTTATATCATTAACAACAAAGCTTATAGAAAACTAGGTAAGAGATATAATTTTACAGGAATACTTATTCCAAACCTCAATTGTTATTTCAAAATATTTGACAAGCATACGAGGGGTGAACAAAAAGTTCGCGAACTATCTCTATATCTACAAAACCACAATTCAGATTAGAATGAAATTTGGTACACACATAACCATACATAGGTTCTATAAATAGCACATACCGAATAAAGTTTTGCTCCTAGTTTGTGACGTCACAATGTGAAAATGACGTCACTGTGTATGTCACTTGTGACGAAAAATGGTTGTCTCAGTCGTACTTGTTCAATATACGACTGTACAATTTATTGTATATCTTAGAACCCCTTTACCGTAGCATATAATAATTAGTACACAGTTTATTAATGCCTTCCTATTAATTCAATCAATGTTAGGATTGATCGTTTAAGTGAAGTAAGGCAGATGGTTAAAAATGATACTTGTCATGCTACTATATAAATTCGAAAAGATATGTGTTTTTAATTAAGCAAATTTCTAAAAAAAAAAAAAAAAGACCTTTAATTTACACTTTAAAAAATAGTTGAATATTTGAACAATAATGTATTTATTAAATACCTAAGATATCGTTTCATTTAGATTTTAAACATATTAGATTTGATAAAAAATAGTCAACCATTCTCTATCCACTTTGAAAAAAACGTCTCTCCCGAGACAGAAGATTTGTGTTTTAATTGTCGCAATGCTTATTTTTGGAAAGGATATTCTTATCCATCCATTCTGTTGCCGATATTTGACCATTTCTGACAAATTTACTGTTCTTGTAATAAAAATTAACTTACATGGAAAGAGATATAAAACTCATTCTGTATTTTGTGACAGAACGTACGTCACGTGACTGCCAATATCACGTGATTCGCGCATGCGCAGAACGTTTGCTGATGTGCATCAAAATTGGAGAGGACTAATTTAAAATATAATCAACACTGAAACCAAATATTGTTTCTTTTATGGAAGTTATTCAATTAGTTTGCGAACTTTTTGATCACCCCTCGTACATATTTTGTATTTTCATATGAATCAGAGCTTTAATTGAAAAGACAAAAATAGTTAATGTTGTATTTTACATCACGACATATCGTCGACGACTATATAATTTAACAATAGTTTCTCCCACAGATTCTGAGATATAAGTATCATATTATGATATTCAACTGATCATATCGTTAATATTCGTAACAAGCGTTTTATGATAGATAACATATTGACTTCTTTTTTTCACAGTCTACGTTCGTAAGATATTTTTCAATATACTATTATCTTCTTCCTATGTTGATTTTGTCTACAATGTATCAGTTGATTAGATACCTGTACAAGAAAACAGTATCTTTTTTACGTGTTTATGTCCACATGTAAATGGAATAAAGCTTTTAAATAAATCTAAATTATTAACTTAAAGAATGTACTTGGAAATAAAAATGCGATATATCCTCAATTTATCCCAGTCTAATGACATTGTAATTTGTTTGTTTCACAATCACACTTTTACCAAAACGTTCTAGGTGGATACCATAGCTTTCCAGATAATGTCAGATGTGTTTTGTACTGCCTTCTGTTTATGAAAAATTACACTAAAAAAGACAAAGATTACCCCTTTCAAAGGCTTCTGGAGAATATCAGAAAGAAATATTTTCCACAACTTGTTCATTCTGTTGCTGTTACATTGTCAAATGTTCCTATGGATGTGTTAATACGGAGGCAGGTTTAACAACCTTTGCATCAGAAGACATAAGACATAAAGTCATGTATACATTCGTCACCGCGTGTTTAATGGAGGATAATGATCTGGAGTTTTTCTTGTCTGAGGCTTCGAGCGACGTCATTTTAGAATACTGCAGATCCTGGGAGTATGAGAGAAGTGAAAGAGAAAGATGTCTGTATATACCGTACAGACCAGAGAAAATGATAAATGCTCTTATTGACAAACTACAGATGAATATCATCAGCCACTGCACAATTTCAGATGAAAATGTCCATGATAGTATTTGTGAACGCTGTGAGTATGTGTAAAAATCTCAGATAGGCAAGCTTGTGTTCTATGTTTTCCGAAGAGAAAAGCATACCAAACATAATAGAAATCTACCAGAATTCGGGAAATTCGGGAAAAAAACCCACTTCTGCATCCTCCTCTTGTAGCGTTCATGTAAGCTTTGAAAACAAATAAGTGTTAGTTTCAAAGCAAGTATTATTATACAATTATTGACTCTTTTGGTGTTGAATATGGTTTGTTATTCACCAGAAAAAAATATTTATATTGACCGATGCGAAGCCGAGGTCAATATGGATATTTTTCTGGTGAATAACAAACGTTGAATATGGTTTTATTCACCAGAAAAATATTTACATTGACCGAGGGGAAGCCGAGGTCAATATGGATATTTTTCTGGTGAATAACAAACCATATTCAACACCAAAAGAGTCCATTATTATTTTATTATATAGACGGGATTTGAATGGATAAGACATTGAAGACTATTTGACGACACCATTTTCATTTGCGATCTTCCATTGTTGAAAATAAAAAAAAATCTCCAGATTACTTTTTGTAACTTCTGTGTTTTTCTTTCCGAGTTTCGCTATGTGTAAGACGTGCATTTCTTAAGAAATAATCCTGAAATAGGTTTGAATAACTGTTTTCCTGCTCATATACGTAGCTCGCTGCGGCCGTTGCAACCATTGCATGTTTACCACGTTGTTCAACGTTTTGATTGTGACGACACAATGCCATTGCACGCGCATTGACCCTCCGGTGAATACGGCCTAAAATCCGGTGAATATGTAGTGTTATGAACTGTAAGCGTTTGTATAGATTATATAGGGACTATAGATAGACTCTATAATAATTTAATTTATTAACTATAAACTATCACAATTTTAGAACTGTTATGAATTTTAGATCAAAAAAGGGATCAGATTTCGCCATTACCCTACCTTGTCCGTTAGTTTATTGATCTAGAACATACCCGGTGCATGTACATGTATATAATAAAGTAGAGAATTATTCATTAAAACTTAGCCCTTGATTTTTGTGAAAAATATTGCAGTAATTTATGTTTTAAGTAAAGTTAAACAAGATTGTAATTTTTTTTTCATAATTTTGCAGTGGAAGTCCCAAGAGAGGTATTATTTTGGGAACAGGAGGCCAGAGAGCGGTATGTGGAGTACGCTAAGAGAGGAACACAGACAGTCCACCACGCCCGGGGGATGATTGTAGGATGTGCTGGGGCGGGGAAAACCACGCTACTTAAACGTCTGCTAAGGTGTAGTGAGGAGGAAATAATGAACGTGAAATCAACGGAAGTCTTGGATGTCCATGAAGAAATTATTGATGAAAATCAATCACTAAAAGGTAAAATGTAAAAGAATCTATTTTGATGCACACATGCTTTGATTTGCTGAATGAAATAGTGTCTAGTATATATGTATCGCATATATACGTATTAAAATTAATAAAACATTCTAATAACTTTTGCATTCACGAGGAACAAGGCATGGTTACAACAGACCAACATTAAAACCAAGACACACTTTAGACTGTAGACTGAAAACTTTAGACTGTAATGATTTGAAATCATGAACTTTAAATGATACTTGTTAGATTTAGAACCAAGGAACATTTTTCATCACTTCTGTTTGTTTATTTTTTTTTAAACTTCAGGAACCATAAAACACAACCTTGCCTATCCATATTTTTAAGCACGTAGAAAAACTTGTACTAAGTGATTTCTAAAACTAAATGTGCTGAAATTTGTTTAAAATTTGCTCTAGAAAAACAAAAATATGAAACTTTGCATATTTTGTATCCTTTCTGTTATATTTATGCATCTCATAACGAAAAATTAATATTGATTTTTAATTACAATATCAGCAAACATTAAATGATCAACTATTAAATAATATTTTTATAGACACCCCAATGGGGTTCTGTTCTATCTTGTCTTAAAAGAAAATGATATTGTAAATGAGTTGACTGATTTAATTGTACTATATTGTTATCTTAATCATTGGCAGCTACATCCCGGACTACAAAGTACAGTTTTGAGGAGAGACCTTCAAAAACTTTGACGTTCTTTGATTTTGGAGGTCAGTGTGTCTATTACGCATGTCACCAGATTTACCTCACCGGAAGAGCCTTTTACATAGTAGTAGTAGATGCCTCAAAGGACCTGAACGAAAAAACAGATGGCAATGTGTGTGATCAAAATGGGAGTCTTTTCTCAGAATGGACCTACGGAGGTGAAGAAAAAATATTGTGCGTTTTACCTAACAAATGACTCAAGGAAGCCCTTTCTTTCATCATCTTAATTCATAATCATTGTACAATGTACCACATGTACGAATCGTCCAATAAGCTATACCTATTAAAAAATCACTATAGATAACTATAGCTCAATATAGTTAATTATAGGTTGCTAAATAAATCAAAGTGTTCTCTTTTAAGGTATGTCACTCGTCAACTTTTTAGTAAAGTTAGATAACTATTTTTCTGGAATAAAAAATTAATATTAAAGACAGATGATACAAACTTTCGTAAAAAAAAATTTGAAAATAACATAAATCATGTTTTTATGAGTTATATGAATAGGTTTCAACGCATAGCTTTTAGCTCTACTTGTCATAGACCAGAAGAGCTTATGCGATAGTAATGCGTCTGTCGTCAATCGGTTTGTCTGTGAGTAAACAATTTTTTCAAAATGCTACTGCTCCTACAGTTTTGGTCTGATTTCAATATAACTCGCATCAAAGGTAGACTGCACTAAGATACATAATTCTGTGTATAGATTTTTCATTTCGATGAATGGTTTTGCTGTAATTACTAAAAATAGAAATTCTATAAAAACATTCAAAATGCTATTCTTCTTACAGTTTTTGGTTTGATTTCAATATAACTTGGCACACAAGTACACTACACTAAGATACATAATTCTATTTATCGGTTTTTTATTTCGATTAACTGTGTTGTCATGGTTACTAAAAATAGAAATTTCTGTGAAAATCATTCAAAATGCTACGTTTTTACAATTTTGGTCTGATTTCAATATAACACTAGTACACTACACTTAGATACCTAGTTGAAATCATTCAAATTGCTTTTTTTTTTTTTTTTACAATTTTTATTTTATGATTTCAATACAACACTAGTAGACTACACTTAGATAACCAATTCTGCGTTTATTGATTTCAATGAAAGGTGTTGCCGTGGTTACTAAAAATAGAAATATCTGTGAAATACTTTCAATTTGCTTCTCTTCCTACAGTTTAAGTCTGATGATGTTGCCATGGTAACTGAAATTGAAAATTGTGTAAAATTTTATCTAAAGCTTCTACTACAGTTGCAGTCAAATTGCAATCTTGCAACAAAAAAGACTTAATCGAGGATCATTTTTAATTATTGCTATTGAACATTTTTTAGTCCCAAATTCTCCTATTTTCTTTCCTTTTTATAAGTACAACCCAGTAGAGCTACATGTACAGTCTCACAGAGACTTCTGGTTTATTTTTTTATTCAAATTTTTACTAAAATGGGATAAGAAGTGAAATATATTTGGATAGATTTTTAGGGATGGTTTAAAAAAAATCAGACTTTTAACATCATAGAAGTTTTGAAATTTCTTTATATTCAAGAAATCTATTATTTGCATCACTTTCAAAATGAAATTAGGTCAAAAATATATGCCATTCCAGGCATCCATTTTCGTTTATATCATCTGTCCTTGATTTCATTTAACACATTAATTTTAAATTTTACACCAATGGTTTATTAAAAAGATAGTAAGGCTCAATTTTTTAAAAATGTTTAAAGTTACGTTACATGGTAATTCAAGCATCAAATTAAATCGAAAGAATCAAAGCTCATTTAGGTGATCTTTTGCTATATAACATCGTTAGTCAAGCGTCAGTAGAATGTTTTTTAGCTCACCTGAGCCGAAGGCTCAAGTGAGCTTTTCCGATCAAAATTTGTCCGTTGTCTGTCGTCGTTGTCGTTGTTGTCGTCGTTGTCGTAAACTTTTCACATTTTTATCTTCTTCTCAAGAACCACTGGGCCAATTTCAACCAAACTTAGCACAAAGTATCCTTGGGTGAAGGTGAACCACGTTTGTTCAAATGAAGGGCCACGCCCTTTTCCAAGGGGAGATAATTATGAATTAGAGAAAATTAATGGCATTTTTAAAAAATCTTCTTCTCAAGAACCACTAGGCCAGGAAAGGTGAAACTTATGTGGAATCATCTTTGGGTAGTGAAGATTCAAGTTTGTTCAAATGATGACCCCCGGGGCAAGGGTGGGGCCAAAATGGCCGACCCAAGTTTTACATAGGAATATATAGGAAAAATCTTTAAAAATCTTCTTCTCAAGAACCACTGGGCCAGGAAAGGTGAAACTCATGTGGAATCATCCTCAGGTAGTGTAGATTCAAGTTTGTTCAAATGATGACCCCTGGGGCAAGGGTGGGGCCAAAATGACCGACCCAAGTTTTACATAGGAATATATAGGAAAAATCTTTAAAAATCTTCTCCTCAAGAACCACTGGGCCAGGAAAGATGAAACTCATGTGGAATCATCCTCAGGTAGTGTAGATTCAAATTTGTTCTAATGATGACCCCCTGGGCTAGGGTGGGGCCAAAATGGCCGACCCAATTTCACATAGGAATATATATAGGAAAAATCTTTAAAAATCTTTTTCTCCAGAACCACTAAACCACTAAACCAGGAAAGGTGAAACTCATGTGGAATCATCCTCAGGTAGTGTAGATTCAAATTTGTTCAAATGATGACCCCATGGGCTAGGGTGGGGCCAAAATGGCCGACCCAAGTTTCACATAGGAATATATATAGGAAAAATCTTTAAAAATCTTCTTCTCCAGAACCACTAGGCCAGGAAAGACGAAACTCATGTGGAATCATCCTCAGGTAGTGTAGATTCAAGTTTGTTCAAATGATGACCCCCGGGGCTAGGGTGGGGCCAAAATGACCGACCCAAGTTTTACATAGGAATATATAGGAAAATATCTTTAAAAATCTTCTTTTCCAGAACTACTGGGCCAGGAAAGATGAAATTCCTGCGGAATCATCCTCAGGTAGTGTAGATTCAAGTTTGTTCAAATCATGACCCCTGGGGCTAGGGTGGGGCCAAAATGGCCCACCCAAGTTTTACATAGGGATATATCGGGAAACCTTTTAAAATCTTCTTTTCAAGCACTTCAAAGCTGTGATTAGTGTTATTTATATGGAATCATCCTCAGATAGTGTAGATTCTAGTTTGTTCAAATGATGAACGCCTGGGGGGGTGTTAAATTCAAGCCCGATGTGCTCAGGTGAGCGCTGTGGCCCCTGGGCCTCTTGTTTTAGTATTTGATGTTTCTTTGATTTAAGCCTGAACATTGTGAACCACATTCACGGGCAAAGGAAAGTTTTCAAAAAATATTATTTATCCATTAACGTACTTCGAGTACTTCGTTTTCTTAAACTGTTGGAATTATTATATCAAACATTGAGCCGTCTACCAATTGGAGTTAAACATCCTTGGGTAATTAGTTCTAGTGCTAGGAGATGGTTCTATCAATCTAAACAAAGAAGCATATACATTTTTCAGAAGTTTCTCTTTAAGAAGACAAATATTCCAAAATATTCTTAATTTCTTTATCTTTACTTCTATGTCAACTGTTCCAGTGTATATATGTGGCTCAAAAAAGTATATGGTTAAAATCTTTGAAAATATTTGAAAATCAACTTTTGCCGCTTGGAGCAGTGATAAGATCGTCTGTTTTTGAGTCGCAGATTTGCTGACCTTTCATATCGATTACATCACCATGTGATTGTCTTAATGTGATAATATAATGATAATTTATGAATAATTATTATAATTTATTGAATTTTTTTTTTCAGACTACTTTGAATTTTGGATAAAGTCTATTCATACTTTTTGTGGAAGGGAAAAGAAAATGATAAATCGACCAATAGTTCTCATTGTCGCAACGCACTGGGAGAAAACTAATTACAAGGTTTTGTTACTCTCTCTCTCTTTCTCTCTCTCTCTCTCTCTCTCTCTCTCTCTCATTGATCAAAACCATACGCCCACAGTGTTCTCTTTCGCTGAACATTTCCTTTTGAGACGTGGTATAACATCACTTAAGTTACAATAGCATCCAAAACCATAAATTGCAAATTGTACTTTATGTAAAAGTTGTAATCTTTAAAGCTTTTGATACATTGTATATTCATATCGACTTTTATTTTATTATCTTGATATATCCATACCCTGTGAAGTGTGTATGCAAGCTTAAGTAGAGTTTCATATCTAGCGCCCATGTTATAATTGCTCTTCATAATTTTTGCAGATGAAATGTCAAAGTGGTCAATTATTGTGCATTTTTTTTCTCCTTTCGTCCCTACCTTAATCAGACATCATGTTTTAAGGTTGGTGGTCAAGTTTAAAGCAAGATCATTTCCTTATCCAATCTAATAGATTACGCAGTGGATAAAGGATTCTGTTTTTGATTTTTGGAGAAATTTGCTTTCTAGTCTCCTACTAGGAGACGAAATAAAACGGCCTATTCGAAAACGAACCTGAATAAAAAGACCACTGTTATTGAGAAAAATGGCATATAAATGTGTGGTTGTGTTTTTGTAATATTCCAGATCTTTGCTGTTTTCATTATTCATGATAGGCTATGTACTTCTAATTTTGTTGGGCAAATGCTCCAGTAGCATGGCTACCCCTTCAAACTCTCAAGTTTTAACTTACAACTTCTAAAAAAAAAATGTTTTAAGAATACGATAAAAGTATATATAACAAGCAAATTCAAAGAATTGTGGTCCCCCGCTTTCGGTGTCTTTGTTGGTGAGATGTTATTTTTTTTTTTGACATATTGTGTCTAATATGAACATCCTAACATATGTCATTTCTTAGAAATTATCATTGAAGTTGAATTTTTTGAAGGATGAAAACCCTTATCTTGAGCGTTAAAAAGTTATGGCCAAAGCTAACGTTTTTTAAAAGAAGGTCAAGATCAAAAAGTCAAAGTTGTGATGAAAGGTTTTCTCACAAGGATTGCATATGTGAAGTATGAAAGCCCTAGCCCTTACCGTTCAAAAGTTGTGGTCAAAGTTAAAGTTTTTACATAAGCATGTAAATCTCCAAGGTCAAGGTCAAAAGGTCAAGGTTGTTGGTATCCAATGACATGTCTTGCAACAAGGAATACATATGTGAAATATAAAAGTCCTAGTATCTACCGTTCAAAAGTTGTGACCAAAGTTAAAGTAGTTAAAACTCCAATGTCAAGGTCAAATGGTAAAAGTTGTTGGTACCCAATGAAAAGTCTTCTCAAAAAGATTACATATATGAAGTACGAAAGCCTTAGCCCTTACCGTTCAAAAGTTATGGTCAAGGTTAAAGTTTTTACATAAGTATGTAAATCTCCAAGGTCAAGGTCAAAAGGTCAAAGTTGTTGGTATCCAATGAAAAGTCTTGCAACAGGGAATACATATGTGAAATATAAAAGTCCTAGTATCTACTGTTTAAAAGTTGTGACCAAGGTTAAAGTTTTTAAAAAGTAGATAAAACTCCAAGGTCAAGGTCAAAGGGTAAAACTTCTTGGTTCCAATAAAAGGCCTTCTAACAAGAATAAAATATGTGAAGTACGAAAGCTTCAGTCCTCACAGTTCATAACTTATGGTCAAGGTTTACGTTTTTTCTTAAGTACGTAAATCTCCAAGGTCAAGGTCAAATATCAAGATTGTTGGTATCCAATGAAAGGTCTTGCCACAAACAATACATTTGTGAAATATGAAAGTCCTAGTACCTTCCATTCAAAAGTTATGGCCAAAGTAAAAGTTTGAAATTTCTGTGTAAAAATGGGTCAAACTCCAAGGTCAAGGTCAAAAGGTCAAATTTGGTGGTACCCAAAGAAAGGTCTTGTCACAAGATATACACATGTGAAATATGAAAGTCATAGCTCTACTAAATCAACAGTTATGGGCAAGGTTAAAGTTTTTGTGACGGACAGACTGACAGACTGACAGACGGAAAGACGGACGGACGAATGAGATTTAATGTCCCCTCGCTTTCGCAAAAGCGGGGGACAACTAAATGTTGAATTAAGAAATATTAAAACGTCCTCGGAAAAATCTAAGCAAATGACAAAACATATAAATGTTAGCAGTGAAATTAATTTGTTTAATCATTTTGTATTTTTTTTTCTATAAAATGTGGTAAAAATTATAAATATTTCATATTTTGGTAAAAAAAAAAAAAAAATAGAAAATATTTTTTGAAAAATTTTCAAAACATGTTCAAAAGATACACTGAAAAATATTTAAATTTAATTTTTTCATAGTAGTGCTTTATTTTTTTAAATAAACTTTCTACTCCACTGACTCCAAAGCATCTAATTTCACACTGAGCAAGATTGAAATCGGCCTGTAATACACCACTTTGACCTAAAATTCGTTTCAGTCGTAAAATTAAATTATGACAATTCATTAAAAAGTGCTTTTTCCGATATATGTACAGTACCGATCGCACACAACCTAACTGAAGCACACCCCGGGTATGCTCTCTTGATCTGCATCGAGTTCGATCAGGGTCCGCTAGGGCTCATCCTGAGCGAACCCGGAGCGCACCAAAAGCGAACACGAAGCAGACCCTGAACGATCCAAAATTCAGCAGCGGTCCCAAGGAGCGAACGCGCGTTGGTATTTCTTATCAAAACTGTCAATCAGTACTAGCGTTACATGTAACCAATCAGCGCGTCAACCAATCAAAATAGCATATTGATCTGTTGATTGGGATAAAAGCTCGAACGTGTTGATTTAATTCAATATAAATCCAAACAGTGCACATACAAGCAAATGGTGTTAATGTACAGTGTGAATATATTATGATAATCGATATTATTTTAAATTTATTCAGTTAAATTCTCCGGATTGTATTTTAAAGAATTAAGTACGTTAGTTATTATACGGAGGCCCAGTATTTTTCGCAATATAATATACAGGTTTGCCAAAATTTTAAATCTATGTGCATGTACTAGATGATTGGTAGTTTTAGAATATGCGAAGCAAAATTTCCACACTCTGTCATTTAGACGTATAGACCACGTTTAAAGATCCGTTTTTTTTCCCGGATATTGCTAGTTTTTCCACTATTTTCGACAGATATTTCTAAAATTAGGTAGTGCACACCCCTCGAGCAAAAAAAAAAAACACGTATATTTCAAAACATTTTGATGAAAGACGGATGAAAACAGGGATAAGATTTTACTCGAAGAATGTGCAGTTTGTTTATTTTGACTTTACAGTACTATTTCAGGTGGCGGATTGAAAGTTCATTGAGAGGTGTATTCTTATTTAGGTTATATTATTTGACCATAATCCATACTAAATGTTAATAAATTAATAATTTATTTTTCGTGTAAGTCTATTTGTCAAGAAAAATAGCATAACTTGCATAACAAACTTGAAAATACGAAAGAATAATAAGACAGATGACGATGGGTCCTGCGATGTGTAAGCCTAACTTGCATCTGACCACAGGGGCTTGTCACGAAATATTTATCTTCTTTTAATAAAGTTACCCCTACTATAATAATACTACAAAAACCACTATAAAAATGTATTTTTTTTTTGTAGGGGTAACTTTATTAAAAGAAGATAAATATTTCGTGACAAGCCCCTGTGATCTGACAAACATTTCCAATAAGGATCAAGCACCAATGAAAACGCTAGATTAAAAAAAAATCAATTGATTAATCGTATTAGCACAGAAGAATAAAACGGGTTTGTATTTTATGCCAAAGTTATAATTTTATTTAAGAAACTGAGAAAGTTCATAAAGCTACCGTCAACAGATGTGAATAAATTACGTAATAATAACAAAGATGACGTCACAATAGATCCCGTTTGATTTTCTTATGATTTATTTTTTTTTTATTCAAAACACTTATAATATAAAATATAATCCATTGCAAAATCTGTTCAAATTAATCAATATTCTGAGGCAATATATTGTTGCATTCTTATATAATCACACATTTATATGTACGTTACGGATAAATTTTAAAATATATCTTTCCTACAGTCAGATGGTTAATATGAAAAAAAGATACTCTGAAAACGTTGATCAATGTTTAATTTTACGCTCTATATTTGTTGCTTGTTGCTTATTGCGCCTCTAGATAAACTTTTGAATGCAGCAGTCTATATTTTTAGAGATGTTTATATTCCAAGATGAATTAACAAAAAATGCATATTCTTCACTTGGTATTATTTTTAATTAATAAAGATTACTAGATGAACTAAAAATGACTGTCGTTAATTATCTGTCAGAGAACCTGAAACGTCAATAGACGACGGAGTTGGGATCGACATATAAGTTAAAAAGAAAATTCAAACACAAAAACTGTGGTGGGGGTGGCAATTTGGATGAGAGGGGATCGTTGAAACAGTTATTGTAAAAAAAAAAAAAAATAGGGGGGCATATTGCAAAGAAAAAAAAATCAGTGTGGCGGCAATTATAGATATACCGGAATTGTCACTCCTGATCAGTCCGAAATTTCATCCAATATTTTTGTATCTGGGGAAGAGCTGTACAACTCATTTCAGACATATAGTTCCCTTTGTTATTAAAAAAAAATAAACATTTAACAAACTTTGTTCTCATTAATCCGTATCCATTTGTAAGTTTTCATCATCATCTTGTAAAGGTATATTTTTAAGTATATATATTCCTTGTAAACGAATGTTGTGCAAAAAAGTTATCTAAAAATTTAAATGCTATGTTCACAAAGTACTTGTATATTCGTTTAATCACGAAAATCCTTGCTTTCAAGCCATAAACAGCATGCAGACTAAATAAAATTAAACAGATCTTTGTATTTGGTTTGTTACCTTATATAAATATTGGAATTCCTGTAGATTACACAATTTAAATCAACCGCGTTTCATAGATACTCATTATCACAGATTTAAAACAATAACCTTTATACATTATGTATTTATTTCC